TGTTCTACAAATACCACAAAACTAAAGTTAACTTTAACATTCAAAACTAACCTCTAAATCCAAAATCCAAACCCTACCTTCTAAAATTATACCCTAATTCTACAATTATTAACCCAAACCTAAAAATTTAAATTATAAAGCTTTGAAAATCAATTTTATGTTTATGGTATTTGTGGAAGATTTGAAAAATGGTGGTATTTGTGGAACATTTGAAAATTGGTGGTACTTTTGGATACAAAACTTCAAAGTGTAGTATCCTAAGGAATTCCTCAATAAGTTAGGTAAAAGTTAGATAAGATGAATAAATATCTAACAAATATGCTATGTAATATTCTTTAGGTTTTGTACTATATATACAAGACTTGGATAAGAGTTGTAAGCCAAGCCAAATGTAAGAGAAAAAGGTGAGAGTATATGTAATCCTTTTGAGTGTTATTATTAAATAAAGTTTCCCTTTTGTTTATGCAACTTTGCTTCCTTAATACTTAGTCCTCATATCCATTTGATCCTAAACACCTCCTTCGTGGTTGTATCTACTATGTGTTTGTAAATTTGATATCACAGACTTAGTAGTCTAAACTTGAAATTTTTATCTTTCTGAGGATTTATAATGTCAGTGAAGTTTTCTTCTATCATAAGATCTATGGAAAGTATTCTCTGTGGTTGTCACTTAGTGGATCCTCCACATCAGAAATTCATTAAGCTAAGAGAAGAAAGATTATAGGAAAAATGTTCGTGAGGTTAAAAAACACATAGAACTTGAGACTCTAGATAAAGTTATTATCTCGGTTATGTAGCAAATGCCTCATGGATTCTTTCTCCATATTCTTAGCCCCAAAGAAAAAAAATAAAAAACTCATAGATTATTATGCCCAAAATAATAGATAAGAACTAAAGTATTTTTTCTTGGTCTATGGTCTCAATATACACATGGAAAGTACATCTCTTCTTCCTCGTCAACCATTTTTTAGAAAATCAGCCTCTAGTAAAATAGACTATCTATATGAAGTAGAATATGTGAGCGAGGATAGTAAAGTTCCTATCACCCAACTACCCCTTCTCAATCCATATAAAGCCTTTACAAAACCAAACTCCACCCTTCCAAAAGTTATAAAACATGTCTTTAACCCTAACAAGCACACCACAAAAAAAACTCGTTCGAGTCTCACAGTTAGAATAACACTTGGTGCCAGCAATTGAAATGGAACAAATGATCCCTCTCCTGTTCTACGAGGGGATGATTCATGAGTGAAAATCTCAAGGCTTCACTCATCTCTACTACAGAGCAATAAGGCTGGCGTTAACTCTTCGTGGAAGAAAGGGTTTACCAGTTGTAGCGAGAGTCGTTCTTCTCGACACCAGATATGGAGAATACCAACATGTTTGCATAACCACTCTACAAACAACTTTAAATACGGGCACAATTTTCGTTACCCTCTTCCCAAATTTCAACATAGCGGTTGGTGACCCTCAAATCTACCAAAACATGCAAATCCAACTTCAAATTGGCGTTCCTGAAGTTGGAAACACATATGCAGCAATGATCCACCATCAAATGGCGTATAAGGTGCAAAAGCATGCCATGGATTTAAGTCTCCCACGTGGCATTGAAGACGCACTGCTCATACAACTAAAGTCACAACACAGTCCATCATGTATCCATATTCCAAGGCAAATTCTTAGAGATGAGTTGATCAAGCTACTCCTAGAGTCATGGGTGACCGATTATGAAAACTTCATGAAAGCAACACTCCAATATAATTTGTAGACTCCTCCATCCACAGAAGAAAAGATGGAGCCATTCAGATATAATTCAAACAACAAAAACAGTGATAGGTCACGACCCACAACCTTTTATACTGAGATTAATACAATCTCTCGATCCGAAAAAACTCCAATTGTAGAAGATCCATACTTACCAGGAATCCCAAACAAATCCTTCGACTCCCTTGGAGATCCTATTTACTTATTCGAGGACGCAACATGTCACAAATTCTTTGATATATGTGACTACTCAAAATGCCTGATGAATGACTCAGATGAAGAAGATACTCCAAAACGAAGGAGACAAAGAAGAAAGTCATCTCAACAAAGGCTAAAAGAGCGATATGAATCAGGTGACCCACAAGTCGGCTTTCTCGGAGTTCCCAGTGGAAATAATTTTGAATACTACGTTTTGTATTCAAATCAATCAGATCCGACAACTCCTGATCAAGAATATATCGGTACTTGTTATATGTTTGGACCAACATCCTCTCAAGGATCGATATTTCCATCCAAAGAATTTGAACAAGGAAACATAAAGCATCAAGAAACCAAACACAAATAATCCAGACGGCTTGATAGTGCAGATTAGTGCAGCTGAAGCAACCCTAAATTGCAAATAGAAAACGCGGTGACCCAAAACCATCTCTTGAGTCAGGTAGACAGAATAATGTTGATCTTAGATCTTTCTGTTAGAGAAATCAACAAAAATATATCCTCCCTCCACCATGAACTCTTCCACCTAGCAACTACGGTTTCCATAACCTCTCCCCTCATGCATCAAAAAGAGTCAGAGCTAAAAAACCTTAGAGCGCAGCTAAATTCCTTACAAAACCAGCCAAAAGCCCAAGCCCAATTCCCATATGATATCTTTACGCCCTATCCAATTTATAACCAACCTCATATGGTCCAAACACAACCTCTCTCCTTTTTCCAAGACCCGAGCTACTTTGGCGCATCCTCCTTCTTACCAACCCCTACCAGATTGGAGTCCAAAGACCTACACTTAATCACATAAGGGGTTTTCCTTTGACAATATTTCAGTGGCATAATGGAGAGACAAAATCTACGAGATGCATGCATGGCTTACTGAGCAATTGCTTAATTCATGAGCTACTCTTTCTACATTCATTGACAAGATGGTCTCAAAATTCCATGGTCGCCTCAGTCAATGGTGGACCAGTCTTGGACAGTACTGACAAATGCAAATACGCCAATCACCGTAAGTAGACGCCTTGATTGGACATATTCAGAACGAATATCTTGGTATATGGAATCACTACACCGTTCAGGAAAGAGAAGAATATCTAAGCATGAGATGTTGCTCCTACAAGATAAATGATATAGAGAAGCATTACGAAATAATGGTAATAGATTTTATGCTCTTACTGGGATAATGATATCAACCTCAAACAAGCTTACATGAACTTACTTCCAGACCCACATGGAAATGAGACTTCAAGAATATTATCACTTAAGAGCATGGTCCTTAACCAAGCATCGTTGGCAGAAATATACCAAATGTCACTTGCAGCTCTGGAGAAATTATGCAACCATCAAAAGTTCTTCAAACAATTACAAGAGCAAGGAAAACTCCTTGGAAAAGTGTGTGATCGCCCAGAACTCTCCATCAATTGCAGGAAAAAGAAGTGCGACTACTCCACAAGCTATA